GATAATTTACGAGTATGTACGAATTTCTGCTTTCCTTTGCTACTATTTTTTTCAATGTAATATTTAATTGCTTGTATTCTTCCGTCTGAGTTTTGTGTTTAAGGGATTTGATTTTTCTATCCTGTTATACAGCTCAATTTCTAAATGGATGTATCAAGAAAGTAGCTGTCTTGCAACTGAAGTGACAGCAAGTAAAAAAAAAAAAAAAAAAGATAGTTACTGCCCTGGTATTAAACAGCTGGCCTGCTTCTCACTCTCTCTGTCAATGTCTAGCCGTATCATTCGACTAACAGGAGTCTCAGGAACTACTCTAGGAGTTGGGAAGGAACGACGTCCAATAGAATTAAAATCATCCAAAACCGAAAAATAGAAGTCGAGCAGGGGTGGAGGTCCTGGAAGCATGCGTTAGCGGCGTCGGTTTTGCGCCAGGGTTCCCGCCCTGGGCCCAGAGAATGTCACTCCATTTCAAAAGACTTATACCGGTAAAGGTGGCTCAAGGCATCAACTGTGATCACTACAGTGGCCCTTACGTAAAAGTCTTAGGGTTCAAGGCTAAACCCACAAGGCACGTTCGTGTCACTCAATTAAGACAAACGAGTTGCTCGTTGCGATGTTTTTTGCCCATATATTTTAAATCCATTAAACATTATATTAATTGTAGAATAATATTAATTTTGCTGAATGCTGCTACATAACTATTATGTACCTAGTCCTATACGTGTTACTTTCAACAACAGTTGCAGCTTACACTGCAGTCGTCATAAAATTCTCCACACCGTAGGTTGTGGAATGGCCAGCTCCAAACTTGCTCTTGTAGACTGTGCATATGTTTTTCTTACGGCTTCTACATCATGGCCTACTACAGAAATGTGTCCCTGTCCTTTATCTCGGTGTCCCACACAATCTGTTTCCACGAATCGAACATACCATGCTTTGATGGTTTTTGCCTACGGTGGAGCTCTTTAATACTCTGTACGAAAATACGTCTGATACGTCTTTGTAATTTCCGATTTAGTATCATGAAGACACAGACAACACTGCGCTCGCTCTGCACGTCACCGCTGTACACGTCCATGGCGACTGTTGACTAAGTTCCATGCTCTGCTTCACATTTCCACCACCAAACGAGCGAGGATAGTGCAAGGAGTGAAGTATGTTGACCAGGCCTGAAATTTGATGTGACATGAAGTTCGAAAAAATCTGAATACATTTCCGTCAATGGTATCTGAAGAATCTTCAGCCTACTTTCACCACTTTTCCTTACTGTGTTTGGCTTTCGTTGTGACACAGGAAATAGTATTGAAAGTTGTTTTTGATTTGTAGTTTATAGAAGAAATGATAATTAACAATACTTCTTTCCTAACCTGAATAGGTACTTAAAGAAAAAGGTTGATACATGAATAAACAGAGATCCCCCTGCTACGTGGTAGGTAAATCATAAGTATTGTAACCACTCCGCGTGAATGCCACGACTCACTTGATTACCAGAATTTCCTCCGCTTCGCGTTGCCCCGGTTGCTCCGCTGTAAGTCTCCCTAGAGGGAGACATGCGCGATACGGCTAATTCTAATGCTACCACAACATTCAAACGCGTTGTTTAATTTTTCTTCGAATAATTTTAATGATTTTTATTTGTGATAGAGATGAAGTCTCATGCTAAAATTAATTTTACGAACTATTTAACAACTAATCTTATCTTCAACGGTCGTACTGGCCAGAGTTCACCTTTGGCCGCCGTGCAGTGTCTTTCCGGGCGGTCATGACCCTGCTCGCGGGAGCGCCAGTCCTGCGCCCCGGCGTCTGGAAGTGGTGTCAGCGGCGGTCGGCGCATTGTCCGTCAGCGCGACGGTCGGGCGGCAAACGGCTTCTTCCCGGGGGTCAAGGGCCCCGGTTACGCGAGCGGCGGTCGTTGGCCGTCTGGCACCTAGGCGGCGCGGCAGCGTTGACTGGCACCACTGCGTTGGTCCGGGCGTTGGCGGCACGATTCGCGGTCGCGCTAATCGCGCCCCGGCCCATCGTCACTCTGGGCTCGCGGTCGGGCACTTACAGGCATAGCCCACTGCGATTATTCAAAGTCAGCGCCCCCGAGTCGGTGTGAGATGTGACGATGAGGCAAGGCATTCGGGCGGCGGCGCGGCACAGTGCATCCGCTGGCGTCCCCCCATGAGTTAAAGCAGAATCGGAACGTGCAGGATTAGAATCAAGAAAACGGAATGTTGAATGTGCAGGATCAGAATTGAGAAGGTTGAACGCTGGTAGCAGAATTGATAAAAAACGAGCTAACGTCTTTAGCTCGCCTCGTAGGCTTCGAGGGTCACGTGACCTTCCCCCCTTCATTTGCTGCGATTGGCGGGCGAGCGTCACGCGGTTTCTTCCACCCTATCTTGGTGTCGTTGGCGGACGCCCGAGTCTCGCCAAGTTCTGCGAAACCCGACTGTCATCCGAGTTCCGAGAAAAGGGCGCGGCGGCGGTGAGTCGCTCGGAAGGGGCGGCGTCCGTACTTTCACCTGAGTCGCAGAATGTGTCCTGGCGTGGGTTGCACCGAAACAAAAGGGCTGGATTCCACAGCGTCCCAGGGGCACGCGAGTAAGAGACAAACTACGCGTTTCGTGGCGTCTTTCTCAACAAAATATAATTTTATAAGATACGCGCCGCCACCTGACGCGTGCGACCGTCATATTACAGTATCGTGCCTACCGAATCATTTAACATTTATAGGTACATTAATAAAGGTACCATGTTCGGCATACATTTTCACAAAACGAAGGGGCTAATTTTCGCACATTTCTAAGTATGCTAGCATGCAATGCATATTTCTGATCTCGAATCACATTTCCGGGTGCGGGGATTTGCCCCAGAAAGACTGACGGTATTTTGTCCCATTTCGGTGTGTTTAAGGAAACCCCGTTACGCCATGTTTGTATTCGAAGTGAAGAAGTTCGCCCGCAGTATTGAAGCTTCGTTCGAATAGTGTGAACTGATAAATTAACTCATTTATTTCTATCTTCATACAATATATCATTGAAATTACAGATCTATGACTTCAAAACTGAAAAACTGAACTTACCCCACTACTTCGACTGACGAAGCTACCTCCACGCGTTTCTGTAACCAACTTGTTTGTATTAAGACCGAATTGCTGCCAGCCGGTAAGCTCCATAAACAATGGCGGTCTATTAAAAACAGCCAATGCGGAGATTTGCCTCACGCAGTTGCCTACCCTACTGTTATTTGATAACATTTTCAACGATATTTTTCGAAAGACATAAAAAAGGATTATTCAATACTCAGGACACAAATGGTCATAGTGAGAGTCGGTACGGTTTGGTTGGGTGGTATCGTGTTAGAACTTTGTGACAGTGGATCTTGAAACTACTCATATTTCTCACTAGCCGTAGATACTTCATATTAGTAGCCTGGTTCCTGTTTATCATGTGACTCTGTGCTTCGTCTTCGTAACATTCTTCACCTACCTTACCTTGGGTAATATGCCCTACATCCGGCTAAATTTCGAAGTATACTACATACTTCAAAGCTACGCCTACTTTCGACTTTTCTATCTTTGTCTACTTTTTGGATTATGTGAACTTTCACGAGCTAACTCGCCATTTAGCCAGATTTGTACATTAGCATAATATTGCATAGTGGCAAATGGATACTTTTGAAAATGCATTACTTCTAATTACTGATCACGTTAATGTGGACATGGAAGGACTTGTGCACAATAGGCAATAAATTACAAAATAAGCTAACAGTGCTTTGGGCATAGTTTTCATTTTTGTGTGTTACTGGTGAGATCACAACTCGAATAACAAGAGCAATAAATAAATAAAACTAAAAATTAAAAATAAATAAGAAAGAATTGAACTTTAGTGCATCTGTAGTTCGAAATATATGTTGATATAAGTATTACCGCCATTTGTTTCAACGCATATTAATTTGTTTGGGTGTTACTGTCAAAACAAAAGCTTAATTGAACATGGCCCTGCAGCTCATATGGAAAGGCCGTTCGTAAAGTTGATATTTAATGGGACAAGCGAACTCAAGTTGCTTGTTTTGGATTCGAGATGTTTGATCATATTTTATATATCTTCGTTCACTACCAAATCCTTTGTACGCATTACAATCGATTGTTTTATCTATTTTAAATCTTTTAATCAATAATTGCATGTAATTATATTGTGAAAATAATACGAAAAGTTATCAAAGGTGTGATTTTTTTTGGGGGGGGGGTAGTGTCTAATTTTCAGAAGAACAGTAAATCTTCGCTACCGCTCATTTGCTTAACACGAATTTTGCCGCAACGATGAACAGAATTTGGCTTTCAGCAAGGAAACTGCTATGTATACCGATTAGTTCGGTCCCGTGGAATTAATGGTAACGAAGGTTTCCTGTAATCTAAACAAAACTCTCTGCTGAAATGAACAAGCCTTGTTTCAAAGAGTATATTTTAATTATCGTGGATTGGCAAAAAAAAGATAAAATGTTACTTAAAATTTCTTTGGCTTGTGTAATATTGGTATTAATTTTGAAGAATAAAATCTCAAGAGAAAGTTGTAAAGTTTTTTGTTATTGTGTTTCAGGAGCAGCACCAGTGGTTGATCTCACTGACGAACAAATGAGGACTGTTATTGACAAGAAAAATAAAAATAATCATAATAATATCATTAGCAATAATATTAATAATAATGTTAGTAATACTAATAGTGATAAAAATAACTACGTTGGTAATAGTAATTCCTTTCGGGACGCAAATAGCCACCAGGGCACACCGAAAAATACGCTCACCGCTCCCTCTTCAACTGCCTCCACTGCTACTACAAATAAAACTATTACTACTACTACTACCAACCGCAGTAGTAGTATTGGGAACAGTAATGGTCCTGGCTTTAGGCAGCAAGTAATGCCAAGTGTTGTGTCAAATCCCCCTCCATTAACTGCAATATCTCCTAAGCCAACTATTACTCAAATAAGGTCCTTACCTATTTCTAATGCTGTAGGAGGCGGAGCAAATCCAATCCACCCATCCATGCACCAGTTTCGAGCAGGAGTACCACCGTCTGGGATCCGAACCGGTTCCATTGTTAATGGTCCCGGAATTGCCGTAAATAATGGTGCAAGAATTTTACGCGCCGCTCCTATTCCCGCTGATTCCCGTGAAGTGAACTTCAATAAACTGGGGGTGGGTAAAACCTTTCCCTCATTGGTTGTGGTGGCTAAACCCATCATGAGAATGAAGGACTTCAGCTCTTCTACTATTTCGAGAGACCGGACGGAACTGGGTAAGTTTAATGTGTTCCACTTACCTTTATAGAAGATTTTTGGTCCATAGGTTGTAAGGTTCGAACACAACTGCAAAATTTGGTATTTAAATCTACCTTTTAAATTTGGTACCTTCAGAAGAACTATTTCAAAGTTTTTCTCTTGGAAAAGTGATTACTAGGTTATGTGTTAATAAAAAATAGGTGCAAGCAAAATGATTTAAAACATTTTGAACAGTGGCAGTTCGTGCTAGAGGATAGGAAGAGGAACGAAATCGATTGCATGATGTACTTAAAATTCAACGTTAGTTTACATGTGATGACTTGCACTGTGATAAGAGAAGGAAAAAACCTCTTATCAGGTCGGTGTTCCTCTGGCTTCCGTCTGCCCAAATTGTATGATTACTTCTCCCTGCTGCTCTGCCTACGTCTGAGCCCCTGGTCTTATCCTTGCCCATCCAATGTGTTACATGGCTCGACACCAATGGTGCGTTCTTTTGATTTAAAAAGCAGCCTATACACACAGTGTCCAGGGAGAAAACGTCGAAACTTCGAAAATAAGATCTTAAGACAATTTTAAATATATTTTGTCTAATAAACTTCTTGGATATTTCAGATGGCTGAGCCACAATAAACACTCAAAATTTGTTTTGAAAACATGCGAAAATGTACATTGAAAATCATATAAACTCTCCAGAAACATATAAATTGTTTATTTACAAAAGAAATGAATATATTTATTCAGAAAGAAAAAATAGCCCAGAAATAAAAAAGCAGTCTAATTATGTAAATTGGGTGCCTTTTTTATTTATTAACCACTCAACAAAAACATAATTATTTGAATCTTCATTGGGTATTATGCTACTATTCATTATGATTATTGCTTGTTCTGCAAGAAAGCGCGCCCCTTTCACTCAAAAACGTCAAAATAGGCCTCCAGTTGACGGACCAATTTCATACATCGAAAAGATATCTCGCAGGCGGTGACGTGCTGTATCCAAACAATGACGAGCCGAACTGTCGCCGCCCTCGCGTCGAGACGCAGGCCACTCGTGTAAAAATATGGGCAGTGTCACGATCGGAAGTTGCATACCCGACGTCTATATGCTGTATCTGAAATTACACTTTCGTTATCCCTCCAACACATCAGCTTATCAGTGCCAGGAACACACTTAGATTTAGATTTATCCAGTCAAAATCTTTAGCGTCTGTATTCGAATTGTTGGAAGATTTAGCGCCCTTAACTTCGATAACTCGTATGATGTAGAGGATTATTTTTAAGCTCACTGCGTTTGGGATATGGACGAAGTGAGAATACATTTGCTTCAAGTATTGCATTTCTTGTACTTACCAAACCTGTTGTAATTTTATTTACAATATCCTCCTAGAATTGAAAATATATTAAATTTTCAAATTTACGTCAGTAATTTTGGAGCTTCCGATGCTGGACCAATTCATCTCCCAGGCTTCGATTAAATGAGAGGTTTATTATTCCTGCAATCACATTCGTAAAGTAGGCAACGTTTTATGTTAAAGATTAATAAACTTATTACAAACATTTTCTTAGCTGTGTTGTGAAATCTTACAATTTTCTCTGAATATCGTACAAGGAACTGTATCCTAACGTCATTTGGCAAGTTCTGGCAACTGAGGGATTTGAAATATTTCTATAGCCAAAATTCGACGTAATAATGGAAAGGTAATTGGTAAATCGAGAAGATTTAACATTGCAGTTCTCTCCAGACGCTTTACTGACTCCGGGCGACCCAAGACCTTTGTTCACTTTCGCCGCAGGGCGCGGGCCACCGGGAGAGCTATGGTTATTCGGCCGCGGAAATGTTCCACGAGGTGATGTTGCCGTGTTTACTTAAATTATTTTCATAACCCCAAATAATCTTGTAAACAAAAATCAATGTTTGTATTTTATGTGCTGCTGTACGGTTTATCCGATTGCGATAAAACATTGTCAACTTATTGATAGCACTTGCACAAATAATACAGGCGTAGTGCAGTGGGAATGTGTCTGTCGCACGGAAACGCTCGCTGATGCTTTTATGCTGACTCAAGCACCCCTGGAATTGTGAAATATTGGCCGGAGTTATTACTTAACCTTTTGTGCGTACAAGTAAATCAAATTACTCCAAGACAGTGTCATAGCTATGATGCAAACTTCTTTCTACATCGATTGATGCGAGTGGTGCATACTTGAAATTTACATGATCACTTAGTGAAAATTCTTTTTCAAGTACACTATCATAAAAATCTTCACCATTCAAAATATTTGATATTTTGCACAACGTATGATACCCCGTGTTTTTCTCCAGAACTATTGTAAGTTTTTTGCTGATATATTTGCCGATTTGTCCTTTGCACAATTGCAAGTCATTATCCACTTTTTTTGTTGTGTTGATAACACACATATTGGGTTCCCCTTACTTTTTAAGATTGTTTCAGTGAAAGTTGCAAAATATCTCGTAAATCAGATTTTGTATCTGATCTCGACAAATTTTGATTGCTGCTGCATCATCTGTATCAAAACTCTCAACTACGGACTTGGACACATTTAAATAGTCGCAGTATAAGTGCTTTTATCCGTGTTCCCATCGTGTTACTACAGGCTGTAGCAGCAAGGGAATATCCGGAGCTTGTTCAAGAAAATACTGAATTCTCGATGAAGCTTTCAGAAACATTTTTTCTGCATTTGATAAAAGGGTATCTACTTCAAGAAAATACTTTTTGTGACCTCTTCCGATAATCCGTGGAAAGCATTTGCGAGGAGTCATTTTTGTATAAAATGACTTCATTGCTGTTGAAGCCTTCACCATGTAAGGTGCAGCATCCGTAACATAAAAGTAGAATATTGTCATGTTGGATACCTTGGGGATACAACAAATGCCTGCTTTAGGAAAAAAAATACAAATGGTTGGATGATTGCACTTTTCCAAAAACTCTGTTGTTAAAAGGAATATATTGCTTGGTGCATTCGGATCAAGAGTCCCTATAACAGCATTGGCAACATACCAACCCACGACATCGGTAGTTTCGTCAGTCGAAACAAAAATTGACTTATCTTTGATGGTGTTTCTAATTCTTAACATTGTCTTCGTAACATTGACACACGTAATTTTTACGAAGTGTATATTCATCTGGGATGCTATGATCAGTATATTGCTCAAGAAAACTTCGTAATTTTGGCTTATTTCATTTTTTTATTGGAATATTCACAATCGCCATAACTTCACAAAGGTCCTGGCAAAATATTTATTTGATGTAGCAGAAGATGTATTAGATATATTTGTACTTTGCCCCCAGAAGAAGCTGCGAACATTTGTTTTCTTATTTGCCAGAGCTTTCACATGTTTTTCTCGTCCAATATGCTTCTGCACGGCAAACCTTTGGTCAGCACTTACTTTTACCTCACGTAATTTGGAAAACAAAACAGTTTCATCCGTTGTAAAAGTATTCGATCCAAATTCATCCGCCAACTGTTGTAAAAAACACATTTTACGGGTTTTGCTTCCGGCATCTTCAATACGTTTTTACGTTACGTTTTCAATAAGGATTTACGTTTATGCTTCGAAAAAGACTGAAGCAGTTCTCTCCGTATACGTCTCAACTCTGCTGTTGGATATGTTGTTGATGTAATCAAAGCTTCTTTTCGTCCAAATGAACTCTACTTACAAACTTTTGGTTTGCACTGTCCTTTAACAGGAAATCTCTTAACGCGAAATCGGCAGTGCGACCCCAAGGGCGTCGAAGAAGGTTTGTATTACATGCTCACAACTGCCGATGTTACAATGTCTGAGTGAAGAAATCGAAAAGGCCACACAGGAATGCTGTGAGATCATTTGTTGCGATTCATACATTTTATTTGAAGCAAGTACTATAATGACATTAAAATCGAGCAAATCAGTAAAAATGCTTTAAATATTACGAAATCTGTAAAAAAAAAATGACTTTTTTGTCAAAATCAACAAAAATTGCAAAAATTGACCTATGAAAATGGTTCATTTCCTTTTATCATAACAAAATGAATTTCTCAAAAGGCATTGTTTTAAAGAGCAAAGAAAAAAGTTATATTTCATTAAAATCCTATCCTAATCATAGCGAGTACATGCCCAAACTTGAACTAGAACATTTTAACAATAGGATATGTGGAAAACATGTCCAAAAAAGGACATAGACTTTCTCGCAAGTATGGGTTCCTCTTTCATCTATTAAAAATTTTGCGTAGCGGTGCATAAAACGTGATTGACAATCACATGACAAGTAGCGTGTGAAGCGTAGTACATTAGCGAAGCATTAGCGAAGCATTGCCAGATCCACTGGCTGGGTCCACTAGCCAGGCACCAGTCTCTGATGTGCACTTGATGAGAGGGAATGTCACACTAGAGAGAATGGTTTAGAATTTGATATGGAGTCATGAGTTCTTGTAAACAAAAGGATTGCACACTGCAGTTTCATCTAGTTTTGTAGCGAATTCTTAATGCTGTCAAATCCTAAGAAGAAAATTATGCCTATCATCACTTGCTTGTATTTCAGTGTCAACAAGAATGAAAAGAAGCATGTGAAGTTTAGGTCTGTGACCAGAAAACAGTAAACTCTTGTTACAGATTGTGTCATGATATTAGTTCTATAGCAATACATTAAAATTCAACATGTCTGTGTATGCTGTGCAAATGATAAAAATGGGAAATATCAAGGAATTAAAGTAATTAAGGTTACACTGCATAAAGATAGAAGATTTGAGAACAATTGATTATGTAAACAATGAAGTAATATAAACAAATTATAGAATAATAAAATATTTTCATAGTGAGCATTAAAGAAGAGAAGGAAGAAAGTATTTGAAACAATATATTCTTGTAATCATTCTTCAAAATATTTTAAATCATTTTGCTCGTGGGTAATTTAACATCTTATCTTGCCAGGTGTTTAGTTATTTGGAGTAGTGGTTATTGCAAATCGCCTAGCGTATTGATTGACTACCACATTTAATATGAAATTTATTAACACATAACACATTAAATTATGTCTGTTGTATTTGTGCAAAAAAAAAATATTTTTTTTAAATTTTAGGTATATTTCTCCTTTATTTAATGCCTCTGATGTTAAGTTTGTGAATTGTCAAGATTGAAGTTCAATTTTTAGTCTGGGATTTCTACTGGTGTTTTTTCCCAAAGTCAAAAATAGTATGACCTGAAGCTGTAATAAATTAATAATTATTAGAGCCTGGAAGTTTGGCAAAAGCCTTTTCATTGTTATGTTTTTAATACTTAAAGAAATCACTTTATCTGAACTTCTGGAGATGTTTCAGATTTTCATTTTGGCCTTCTCTCCTATTTTAACTTCTGATACTTGTGGTAGTTTGCCTCATTTGGCCTCTTTCTTCATTTTTCCTTATTATTTTCCTTTTTTCTCCTGGCACCAATCTGGATCAAGCTTGTAACATACCCGTTAATAAGGACAAGAAAAAGACATTCACATATTGTCTTTCTCTGCAAGTGGAGGCTCCAGGGCCAGGAAGTGTTAAAAATCTACATGAGACAAAAGGAAAATTTTTGGATTTCTTTCATTGATGTCAACAGGCTTGGTTTGGTAATGAGAAATCCTATCCAACCCTTGTCTGTGTCTTCTGATGTTTTTTGAGGACGAAGCCCTCAGTAAAATGCAGCCCTGCTCAGTGCTGGTGATTCACAAATGTGAAGAATGAAAACTGTACCCATGTTTTCACTTATGCCATTTCAGGATTTGAGAGACACCACAATAGCATTTCATAGAGGTACCATTTTGAGTGCAACAAATAATTAGTCATATCGAAATTTAGTATGCCACTAAAAATAATTTTCACTACTGAAACTGAAAAAAATAATTATGAGTAGGAAAAACTGGGGTTGTGCAATCAAAATAACAAAGAAAATATTGGCTCCTTCTATGTAAGCGCTGACATAAATTTTAGTTAAAATAAAAATTTGAATCATTGCAATTTTCATTTTTTACAATATCTCCCTTTAAATCATGATTTTTTTATTGTTACATGCCTTTTGCATTTTTTAGGGGAGGGGGGGTACCAGAACTTCCAGACTCTAATGATAATGAATTCAGTTTCTGTACATCCTGTTAAGATTTAGCCTGCTGACCACATAGTGACTCACATGGAAATTTCCTATTGCAAACGCAGGTCTGAGGGGCACCCAAATCCCATAAAACAGTCAGAATCTTCATTTTTAATTATGATTTTCTGAAGTTTTATGCATAATTATTGTTATTATTACTTCTAAAATAAATCTTTTTTTAAATTTTTTTTTATATCATGGAAATTTTTAACTTTCAGACCAACAAGTTAAAGTATTACTTCAAAATTCCATGACCAAACTTACTGAATGGCTTATCCAACAGGGACTTGTTCGATCATCACAGGTAAATAAAATTATAAAGGATTTCCTTTTATAACAGATGTCCATTCCTCTTATACATTACTACTGATTGTTCATATTTTGTGATAATCAAGTGAAAATATCGGAAGTGTAATTTTTTTTATTGAGATCTGCAGTCTGGTATCTAAACTTTGTGAAGGGTTTCCAGTGTTGAATGCAGTGGTCCAATTATGAACTTTTTGTAGTGTGAGTTGTTGCTGCAATATTTCTAAACACCTATGTTTCTGTTGTAGACTTGTCAATCACATCGTTCAGCTACTACTGGTGAACCTGTTAATCTTAAACTTGGAATGTATTCAGATGTGTCTAAGTTTCCTCATTCTGGTGGTTATGTTTGGATTTGTGAATTTTGTCCTACACAGTTGTTTGTATCGGTGAGTTGCATTTATTATACAGGCTTGTTTGTGCCTTCAATTACTTTTTTTAATTGGCCCCTTTTATTTTCCACAGCAATCATCCAAGCCTTTCCACACCTGTTTGGACATCCTCAGTGTTACACATTCAGTTTGGCACTGTTTTCTCCCATTCGTTTCAAACAACCTGGCCATGCAATCCTGGGCCTTAGCAAGTCTTTTGTATCTTCCTCCAACCAGTGTCTCTTCAATCTCTCGGTCAGTTTTCCCTCTTTAACACTCCACAATCCTTACTACTATTTCCCTTTGGAATGTGTACAGTAAATGTAAGGTCTTTGCCAGAGAAGGCTTGCATTTCTGCATTGTGTCAACCTAATCAGAATTGTATACGGCAAAAGTATGTGCCTTTCGGCATATCTTGTTGGTATGCAACCTAATAGCCTCGGCAGTTTGCCTGGTCTCTTTTTTTTTTAAGTAATAGGTCCACTGCTCATCAATCACTTCTTACTTGCATTAAGACAAAGAACTTTCAGATTTAAGCCTTTCCATCAGTTGAAGAGGAGGATATAAGTTCCACAAAAATGAAATTTTTACATTCATTAAATGAATGTAAATACTCTTGCCTTTTCAGTAATGTGAGATACAAGTCGAGAGTTGACGAAATGGTACAATGTTCGATAGTACAAGTTTCAGCTCAATGCTGTAGAGCAGGTCACAAGTACGAGAAATACAGCATTCAATTAGTTCATGTAACAACATACTTCTACTATTGCTCATAAAAAAAATTGGTAAAATGGATAAACAGCTTCCTTCACATGTCAACACCCATTATACCATTACAAGGCCCAGAAATGTCTGGAATTCAAATGAAATAAATTAGCGCAAAGGAATTGTTTCAAGGTATATGTAGCTTGTTATTATGTATACATGTGCGTCACTGCCGCGGGACGCGTACCCCGCCCCAATATTTCTACTTTCTCGCTGTGGAGTGGAGAGAAAGTTATGTAATGCTGCGCGAAAAAAATGTCGAATTTGCCGCAGAAAAACTTATTTCGTCGTTATTACAGGGCCGTAGTAAAGAAAAAGTGGATACATCCAGTTGTTAAATTTAAAGAAAAATATCAGTCTTCTCTGTGAACAACGCTAGCGGATAAACCGTTCAACCGATGTTCTTTTTATTTCCCAATCGATCTGGAAATATCGATGTCCCGGCCCATTGAATTTGAAACCGATATTTTAATTTTTTTTACATGAAGCTCCTGAAACATTTTCAAAAAAGTGACTCCATCGTTTTTGATTAAATTTTGTTTTTGGATACTGTAAAGGACGTTTAAAAGAATGTTACAGGTCTCATGTTCGTTAAAAATCCTGATTTTTCGAATATTGCAAAAGTTCACAATTTTAGAAAGTTTTCCAAAAGGAGTACTTTTTGCGTAATTTTGCGTGAAAATACGGGCTGTGGGCGAAGAAGTACGTGGCGCCACTAGTTTAGTATATGGGGTAATTTGGAAGGGGCTCCCCTATAATCTGTACCGTATTTATTGAATTGTCCCTTACAATAATTTGTTTTTGGTGACGCCCATATATTTCTATTGGCCCAAGGAGAGGGGCCTGCAGCCGGTACATCGCTCCGAGGCCCATGATACCAAACGCGTCCGCAAATTTTTATTAAAACTTGAATACTCATATAATTTAATTTATATCTCATCTTAACATTTTCAAGACAGCAGCATTTTCAGTTTCGCTACCGCCCTTTAATCGTTTTATATAATGTAAGCACAGTTGCTTATTTATTTATCAAACCAAAAAATATTTTTCAAAATTTAAAGCCAGCTCCGGCGTCAGTCTAGTGTCACATTGTCAGCTACTGCGAATTCAGGAGGTTTCCCGAAACCGTTGTGAACAGTGGAGCGCAGAAGGAATAGTCTTATCAAAATGTATCGATACCAGAGGTCTGCATCAGCAAAAAAATGCTGCTGAACGAAACAACTTAAAATGATCGTACAAAGTGGCATGCACACTGCTCAAGGAAGGAAAGTAAAATTCTCTTGTGCAACAGACATTAATAAATGAAGGCTTGAAATGAAAAGGATGTAAGTGCCAGAGTCATAATTTTGAGAAAAACAAGACTAACAAGAAATGGACTTTAGTTCTTATTTATGTTATACTGCTTGATTCTTTCATCGTTATTCTGATAAAACCGTAAATTTAACAGAAATGGCACTTACTTTATTTCAAGTCTTCAAATATTGTATGCTTTAAAGCGACAAAGTAGCTAGTTGTGGGAGAGCTGCAAGTTGGGCAGAAGTCCACAAAAACATATTCCTGAGGTTTTGGGTCAAAGAAAGAATTCTGAAAACAATAAGTATGGAGGCTTTTAGCACACTTTGGCAATAAAAGCTGATTTTCAACATTAATCATTTTTAGGAAGTTATCATGTTTTCCTGTTCTGGAAGCATTTACATTCGTTCAACGCGGCGTTTTCCTCCAGAGCCTTGCTGTCGCACTGCGTCAGGTGTGTTGAAAACAGCGATGGACTGAACATTATCCGTACACGCACTATGAGATTATGCGGAATAACGCAATCGAACGTTTCTATTATTCAGTCGCAAATGTTGATTGTTTTTGGATTTTTGTCGAATACGTAGGTATATAATGAAATCATACAAATCTCTCACATGGCCGGAGGCTGCAGAATTTTCTTTCAATTTCTGCGCTTTGGAAAGTAGTAATCATATACAGGGGTTGGAAAAAAATGAACACCTGACCTATACAAAATATTTATTTGTTAAGAAGAATTTGGACCACCATTTGCTTTTAGAGCAGCTGCAGTTCGTCGCGGAATGGATATGTAGCGTGCAGTCGCGGCTCGTGGTTTACGAAATGGAAAAGGTTGCAAATGCGTTGCATTCCATTCCATTGTATCGCATTCATTGTTTTTATATACACAATCTCTTACGATGCGGCCATAAGAAATTAGCGCTCCTATCGGACATTGGGAAAAGGTCGCTGAGCTGCATAACCCTTTTCTCTTTCCTGTCTACAGCTTCAAATGAGTTACGGACGACCGTTATCGAACTAAGAAAGAAAATTGTTGATGTGATTGTGACATATAACTAAGGAATTCATTATTAACACAAATTTATAAATATATTTTTAATTTTTTTTGGGGGGGGGGGATTTCCATAGGAGGCGCAGCGCTTTACAGTCTTTATTGACGAGCAGCGTCTGGTAGCATGTCTGAATAATTTGTAACAGGGTGTTCTCCAATTCTTGTACCAAAGTATACGTCAGTTGCTTCAACGTTGAATACGGAAATCTGCCTCCCACGCTGTGCTCTAAATCGGCCCATAACGTTTTTTTTGTTCTGGCGATTGTGCTGGCCAGGAAAGATGTTTGTTGATATTCTGCTGCTCCGCAACCCAAGCGCTTAAACCGTCTTTGTTGTGTGTATTTTCGTGGAATATAGCAGTGTTACGCTAGTCATTGTTAGCACTTTATTGTTCGGATGGCGAGATATTCATTCGCAGTAGTTCGGCCTGTGAAGGTATTTAGGATCATCTGAGTACCACGATATAGCCGCTTGGTATAGTCTTGTTTGTGGTTCTTCGTAAATAAACCCGGTCTTTTGTAGGAAACAATGCAAACTTTCAATGTAAACAATATAAAATTCATCGGACTATACCACATTCTTCCAGTCACTTGTCCAGGTGGGTCGGTTCACGTCCTCATGGGGGAATGCAGAAAGAAATCTCAAGTTTTCCTTTCTTTCATCAGTCATCTTCATTTTCCTCATCATTCATTCTCGTTCTTTTAGAACATTCTGTCTGTTTTCTTCTACCCCTTTTATTTAGATACTCCCGCCCTGTACGCAGATCGCCCGCCCATGTTTGCCGTGCATGGCGAGGGAGGGAAGCTGTGTCCTAGCAGTTGAGGGACCTGTTTGTTTCTCAACGACTCCTTGTGCAGCTTTCTGCTTTGCACGTGGAGATACGTTGTTTACGTATTCTGGGAACCATTCCTTATAGGTTTCCAACACTTGCTTTGGCCTCGGACTCTTCTAGACGGGCGATCGGGAGCTAACCCACTCCCGATCTATGGGCTCGGGCTAGGTCTCGTACTTAACTCCAGGGGGATCCAGGGCGGGGCAGCGCTGTGACATCTTCCCACTATATCTTCGTGTCAACCCTGGCACTCCAGTGTCCCCTTGTTAGACTCAGTGATGGGTGGGGAGCACGGAGACGAATCCACTTCAATTCTGTGGAGCATAAAACAAACCTCCTGCCCTTTTCCGGAAGGAAGAGGCGATGCTTTGAGAGAATGGTGGATTTGAGTAGTTTCGTCCTTGAGAAAGAAAATAAATCAAAGAAGTCACGTTTCCTTTTGATGGCGTGCGTGGAAGAAGGGAAAAACATACTAGTGCGGTTTGTCTCGCGGGAGCCGTTGAGGACAGTTTCGGTAAACTCCAAGCGGCGGTGCGTTAGAGAAATAGTACCATTATCTTCAAAGCACGCACCGATGAGCAAGCTAATCGAAAAAATCTCAAAAACTAAGGTTGCCGGCCTCCAGGTGGGAGTGACCACTCACCCGACCCTTAACCTATGTAAGGGTGTGGTGAATGACGATGGCTTTGTGTCCGAAAGTGAGGAGAAACTTTTGTTTTTCTTTAGCAGTCAGGGCGTAACGGCGGTGTTTAGGATCAAGAAGGAGAATGGGAGAGAGTTCCCTACTTCCACTCTGATCTTGACGTTTAATCTCCCCTCCCAGAGAGGATTCTTTGTGGGTTTTATAATCTCCACGTGCGGCAGTATGTCCCAAAACCCCCGCGTTATTTCAAGTGTCAGAGGTTCGGCCATACCCAACAGTAGTGCGTGGCCGTAAGCCCTGTTTGCGCGAAGTGCGGCAAATCCACGTACGATACGGATCCTTGTGCCTCCCCACTTCGCTGTGTTAACTGTGAAGGAGACCATGCGGCCAACTCGAACAGGAGCCTAAAATTTGAGGGAGAGGGAGATACAAAA